CCCACCGCCACGGGGACAGCACGGGAGCATCCCCACCCCAGGAACAGACCGGACCCGTGGGTGGGGGGTCTCTGCCTGGGCCAGGAGGGGACCGGGACCCCCGGGGGGCCATGCAGAGCCGCAGCAGCCCAGGGCAGAAGGTGGCGGGTGGCTGCTGGGAGCTCAGAGCCAGGATAACGTGGCTTCCTGCCTGCGAGCTATTTTCATCCGCCCGCTTTCCTGTTTACAGCGTGGCGGTGCCAGCTGCCTGCCAGGGCCCCCGGAGCCCTACGGGGCACAGCCCCCTGGCCCCCCGACCCACTGGACCAGCCTCGCCGGGGTGGGCGGCGGGATGGGGCAGATGCCCCGGCACGGGCACGGGGCCGGGGGGGCTGTGGGGCCGCAGGCGGGTGTCCCTGCCTGAGGAGGCAAAGGGATGGCAATGATCCCGTGGTCCCCAAGGCGAGGTGGGGCTGTGGGGGGGGTGTCACATGACGCTGTGTTTTCGGCTCTGGCTTTACAAACATGTTGACACATCCCCACTTGCCATGGAAAAAGGCAGCGCCCAGCCCGGGGCACTGCTGCCCATGGCCCCGGCAGCCGGATCCATGGCTGGGGCGGTGGGAATGCGGCTGGGGCCTGCGCTGCTGGGGGGGCAGTGGGATGGCAGCTGCGGGGGCGATGCTGAAGGTTTGGACATTGCAGGGCAGGGGGGGAACATCCCTGAGCCGGATGGCGGCTGTCCCGCTGCCGTCCCCGCTCGGGGTGTGTGGTTATTGCTGGACCCGGTTTGGGACAGCCGGCACGGCGCCGTCCCCAAGGCGGCAAAGAGACAGGGAGAGGTTGGGGCTGACCTGTGGGACACAGCCATGATTTTGGAGAGTCCGTCTCTCCCCTGCACCCATCCAGCCCAATTCCCAATCCCATTCCCAGCCCCACTGGTCTCCCCACTTCCCACTCCAGAAGGGGCCTGGAAACGGTGGAGGAAGCAGAGGAAACCCTGACCCGAGCTGGGGGCTGGGATGGGGGGGTTTGCTGGGCTGGATGGCGGGTGCCAGGCTCCCATCCCAGCGCTTCCTAACAAGGCTGCCAGCGCCCAGCCCCGAGCC